GGCGGGGCGGCGTTCTGGGCCTGCAGGGGCTGGGGGATCTGCGTGTACTGAACCTTGGGTGGTATCACGGGCACCGCCCGAGCCTGGCACATCTTGATCATGAAGGAGGTCCTGACTGCTGACACGCTGACGGGGGCAGAGTTCCGACGGCCGGTGGCGGCATGGGCCACTGCCAGGTAATCCAGGTCCAGGTCCACGTGGGCACTGAAATGAGACCCCCAGGGAATGCCTTTACTGGCAGCGGGGCAGGCAGTCGGCAGGGATGGGACAGAATCACTGCTTTTTACTTCTTTTTGCCCACACAGGAGGTTCCTAGTGGCAGAGGGCACGGACAGGCTCTCGAATGTGAAGAAATCTGGGGCTGGAAGGAGTGAATCCAAGTTGAGGGACGATGGTCTAGTCTTCACCTTGCAAGGTGTTTCTTCACCTTTACTGCCCGGCTGTGACTCGGTGGCAGAACACAACGCTTTGGTAACAGTCTCTCCTCCCAGGGCAGTGTCCTGAGACATGGATGACTCCTCCTTGGTGCTCCTCGCTTGTGGAGAACTGCCTGGGCTATTTTGGTATCGTACAGACAGCTCAAGCTTTGAGCTCCAAGGGTTTTCTTTGCTCACATCTACTTTTTTTCCCTCTGGATCTGAAAGAGGGATTCTGGAGGGTCTTTCTCTCTCAGCTGGTGCTTTCTCCCTGCTGAGGGGGTACTTGAGCTCCTCAGGTTTCGAAGGTTCTTCTGTAGGACTTGTGCCATTGTCACCTTGCTTAGCTTTGCCCACACTAGAGGCAGAGATGGGTTGTGTTTTGGGCAGCTCACTAGTCACTGGCAGAACATCACTGCATGGTTTCTGCTGGTCAGTGGCATCTATGAAAGAGAAGGGGATAGTCCAGAGACTCATCACTGTGTCTTTGCTGTCCAGGGAGAGGCTGCGACTGAATCGTGGTCTAAGAGAGAGGCCTGTCTCTGCTCTCTGGCTCTGGGGCTGAAACTCCTGTATCACCTTCTCCTGAATGTCCTTGAAAGTGGGGGAATGGAGTGGGCTTGTAACCCACTGGTGATCCTCCCATGGCTCCACAAGTTCTAAGCTCTGCACATTATCTGTCCAGGTATCCTCGTCATCCTGGTCACCAGCATCAGGGGTTCTGCTAATAGTGTTGCCTCCCTTAAGCTCCTGGATTCCAGCTCCACTCAGCACCTTGGAGGATAACGTGTCCTTTTCATCAGCAGTCACTATGTCAGGCTTCTCCCTCTGAGCCTGGACTTGGGTAAGAACATCCTTCTCCTGCAGCTGGCAAGTGCTCTCTTTTTCTGTCCCTGACTCTGGACATGCTCCTTTGGAACAAGAAAACTCATCACTCGGGGAAGCCTCTTTAAATTCTGACTGATTCTGAAGCTTCCAGTCCAGGGGAGGAGTGAGACGTTCACTCCTGCTGTTCACCACTGGGTGGTGGCTCTTTGGCACGGCTGGGTCAGCTGGAAGAGTGTCCTGTTTGGGTAGGGCTGAAGCACAGCCCTGCTGTGCAGCCACCTCAGCCTGGCAGCTCTGGAGGCTGTCGTGTTGCTCCGTGCCGGTGGCACCAAGTAAAGGCACCTGAGGTGCTATCTGTGCTGTTCTGCTTGCAGATTTCTGCTCAGGCAGTGTCGGACCCTGCCCTGGGCCAGAGGAAGAACTATCTGTTTGCACTGCAGAAGACTCAGAAATGAGGCCCACCTTGGGGACAGCGGCTGGCAAGAGCAAGAGCTCCTCTTCAGGTTCAATAATTTTCAGTTCCTGCTGTATCTCTGGCCAGAGTGGTTCTAGGAGGGCATTTGCAGGGTCCTCCTCAGTCTGAAAAACAGAAGAAATGCCATTACCTGGCAGCTCACCATTTACCAGTAAATACACCTTCATTTTCCTTCCTAGGCACAGACAGAATGAGACAGGCTTCTGGATGAGCACCCTCACACACACAGAGACACAGACACACACTCTGCTACCAGTTCAAGGGAGGAAATACATCTATGAACAACAGGGTTTATGGAGTAGAAGATCTGAGGTGCAGCCAAAATGAAGCCTGGACAGTTGTGCTGGAAGAGGGAGGTGAATGAGTAGCTGGAATGTCTCAGCCCATTCCTCAACTGTTCTCATTCAGGCTCGCTTGGCCTTGCCAGAGGATCTGCATTCCCAAATTGCACATGGAGCTGAATGAATAATCTATTCAAGGAGCTATGCCAACAGATCTTTAAATAGCACTCCAGAGATGAGTATCGCTGTAAGAAACTTGGTGAAAAAGCTCTGATAGAGATATAGAAGAGGCAAAAATAATGATAATTTAAAAAATAGTGTGTAGAGAATGGAAGTAAAAAAAAAAAGACTGTTCAGGATGTCCAGGACAAATGGGACAGCAAAAATAGAAGGGCAGTTCAGAGACCAAGGGTCAAAATGCTCAGACATCCAGACAGCCTCACATCTGGAGAGTCTCAGAAGGGACAGATTGCACTGGCTGCACTTGTACAGCCACAGGAAAAGACCAACGGAGGACAGTAGGCAGTTGTATAAAGGTAAATCACCACGTGATGATGTGGACAGAAGTGAAATCAGCCCATGGTCCATTCTTGACTACGCTTAGCCTGTCACAGGCTGAGTTTTCATAGCTATGGACACACAATGACATGTTAAACTGCCTCCCAGTCACCCCCATGACATTGTCCACCTTTTTTCTCATACTTTCTTCCTTACCCCATCTGGTAATTGTGACCCTTCTTCTCCCTTAGCCATCTCGAGCTGCTGGCCACAGCTCTCCTCTGAGGAGACATCCTTCACGTTGAGCTGCCCTTGCTCTGCCTTGTCTTCAGGGAGATGCCCCGTAGGAACCTCCGAGGCTGGTGTTTGTTCCAAGGTGGGACTCTGCTCTGAGGACTGCTGGGGGCTCCTGGTGCTGCTTGTGCAGCTGCTTTGCCCACGTAGCCCCTCCTGATCCTCTGCTGCTTGCTGTGGAGTTTCTGAGGACCCGGGTTTCCTGGCTGACACGAGCTCCTCAGGGTGAAAGCCTGGATCAGAAACACAAATGAACCATGGAACGACTGGTGACTGCAGACCTGTGCCGTTGGACAAAGTGGTGCTGCCTCAACCCCATGCCAGCTAACAGAGGCAAGGAGCTCCCTGCAGGCATTGCTGGGAGCCACCCACCCCCCAGCTCTCATTGCTGCAACAAGCACCACCAGCACCCACCCTGCTACAGCCTGGGGTCTCTCCTGCCCCAGGAGCAGGCTGGAGCACCCTCCACAGCCCTGAGCTGCAGGGCACCCCCGGTAGCCCCGGGGCAGCCACGCATCCCCCGCCCTAACGCACGGGTA